ACACCCACACCACACACCCACACCACACACCCACACCACACACCCACCCACTCACACCCACACACTCACACTCACACACACCCACACCCCACATCCACACCCACCCAGCCACCCACACCCACCAACACCAATACCCACACCAACACCCACCCACACCCACACCCACCAACACCCACACCCACACCCACCAACACCCACACCCACACCCACCCCGACAGTGCGCAAGTCACTAATGTAGGTCACACTTAGGGCCTTATCTAGCGGATCACCAAAGTAAGGCAAAAGATTGACCGATCAGGCTGAAATTTATAGCAGTGACTACTGACTAAGAGCGGTTCGGGTGCTGAAAGATTCATGAAAAATTAACCATCTTTTCTATGACGATCGATAACAAAGCAAAACGTCCCCCGTCTTTTTCTGAAAAAATTAAGGTAATGTTGCACTGTACTGAAAAATCTTAGGGCATTCTGCAAATATTAAAGCTTTGGCCTACAAAATGTGGAAAAAACGAGAACCTATGATTGTGTCTACAGGTATAGATGTAAAACAAAACCATAAAATTATGAATTTCGATAGACAAAAGGAAATGAGTTTTTCGAAACTCCTGTCCTCTAGTGGTCGAATGCATCCAAATGAATACATTAAGCAATTAGATACCGAAGCACTTATTGGTTCTGTAAAAGAAAAACTTTTCCGATCTTTATGTTCTCGAAGAAACAAAAAATGGACAAAACGACTTTTCGTAGCTGTCTTTTAGGAGTCGTCTAGAATGTGGTTAACCGACTCGCTCTCTAAAAAATATTATTGCTTCTTAAGATTATACACGGATGGTAATATTTGCGCAAATACTACAGAAAATATATCACTATATACGCAGTAGTCGAGGCTTTATATATATATGCAACAGTATTTATTCATACATAGACGAACAGAGAAAAATATTTCATACCTTCAGGCTACTTACTTTTTATGAATAATCCGAAACATTTTCTACTGACTCAGAGTGCATCGCTGAAGCTTCTTATTAACATTATGTATTTACAAGCATTTGACCATGAGTTAAGCATAGGGTTGGATGACAATTGAAGCAACCCCTAATACATAATATGTATTAACAAAAAAGATATTCAACAAATCTTAAACTGAATTCATCACACCTAAATACACTCATTCATTCACAGGCAAAAACTACAAGTTGTTAGATGGGACTGCAGCTGAGTCTGTGCGACGACTGAGCGCGCGCGCTAAATGTGCCTCGGTGTCGGTGTGACACTCAATTAAGCGAATACACACACCCACACGCGTCCCCACCCCTCCCTCCCAACCATACCGACCCAGACCCACCCACACCCACCACCCTAGGTTGGCAAATATAAATCGAGAGTTATGGAGTCAGTTTATGCCTAATAGTTCTCATTGAACGTTGAAAACAATGGATACAGGTCTATTTATGGTATTAAAAGGTGTTTCTGATATAATAAAAAATGGATTCGTACGAATCCATTTTCGTATGGAATCAATAAATGTTTTCGAGTTTGTATCCAGGTGAAGAACCCTTTTGTGGTTTCATATGGTATCTTTTTTTATATTACAAGGGATATACTGGAAATGAAACGAGTCACAAAATGTACTGATCATCTTAATGAGATTTTTCATATGTTGGCGATATATATCTGAGAAAGCAATATGTCAACTCGAAGATACATTAATAATTGAAATAAATATAGGCCGCACTACGTCATGAAGCTGAGCGAGAGCCCAGTATCAAGGGGATCACTGGCTTCTGTGTTTATGAAAGCAATAACTATGAAGAGGAATGAATAAAGCAATTGTTAATTATTAGTAATACATGAATCGAAAACTAATTTAAATCCTACAAGCAATGCAGTCTTAGTTCATTTTAAAACGGGAACCATATTATCTCATCTATATAGGAGAGTAATATTCGCAGCTGTTAAGTACTTGTCCTTCATTGTCACCACCACAAGTAAATACACCATTAGATACTACGAAAGCGAAATTTCCTTCACGTGCATAATTGAGTGAACTTGTATTCGACCATTGTCTAGTCGATGGATTATAGAGTTGAGTGATCGCAGAACAAGTCCCATTGGCATCTCCACCAGATGTTAGAAGAACATTACCATTCGAAAGAAGAGTAAGGGAGCTGTAGAAACCACCAAACGCTGTATTGGCAATTCGAACAAATGAATCATTTGATGGAAAGTATAATTCAGCTGAAGCTAATGACGCTGGATCACTGTAACCACCAGCAATAAGTACACTACTGTCATTAAGACGAACAGCTGCATGATAGGCCCTTCCTGTTGTCATGTTCCTAGCTGTCTTTCTCCAAGTATTATTCACTGGATCATAAATCTCAGCTGTGCTTAAACCGATCATTGGAGTTGTCCATCCACCAGTGACAAGTACGCGACCATCAGCGAGTAATGTTACTGTTGGAGCTCGACGATTGCTTTGTGTCATAGGTCCTGTGGGTATCCACAGAGAAGAGCTATTTGCATCATAATAGTATGCTTTTGACACGTTGCCACCAACAATTAATACACGCCCATTTTTTAAAAGTGTCGCTCTGTGTCGTCCAAATTTTTCAGGCATAGAACGTGAAGTGTTCGTCCATGTTCCTGAAGTGATATTATATATTTCGGCAGTATTTAGTGGAACGCTAGTATCATTCACAATAATTTGTCCACCAGTAACCAATACTTGTTTTCCATTACTAAGTAAAGTCATTGTGTGATAGAAACGCTGTTGACGCATCGGATTCGTTGATGTCCATTGGCCAGTCGATGGTGAATAGAGTTCAGCCGCGGAAGTAACATTATTACTTCGAGAATCATTGAGACCTCCACTTGTCAATATGCGACCATCATTCAATTGCACAGCAGGAAAAATCGTTCGATTCGATAACATCTTAGTTGCAACTCTCCACATTCGTGCCATACTCGTTGTGGCTGTCGGTTAAATTATAATAGTAAAAATAAAATAAGCAAAATAAGTGGGCTAAAAATATTTTTACCATTGTCATGGCTAATATATATTCAAGCACTCAAGATCGTGAAAAAAAGGTGTTTGAAATTCGGAGCATATAAAAAAGTGAAAAATCAAGCCGAAATATGCATTTGTCCTAGCTTTTCTTGGACTATCTTTACTTCGTTAAATACGACCTCATTAGTTTACAGTTTTTGAACAAGGTTAAATGCGTTGCATGTAATTGATTTGCTTTCATAGTCATAATTAAATGTTCAAACTTTTTCAAGCTGAAAAATACATTTTTTAATATATCTGTTGTAAATAACAACTTAATTTGAATTTTTTTTCTTTTTTTCTATTTGTTAATCTTTCTTCCATAATCACGTATTCTGTTTCCTCACGTTTTATTTTTTGTTTTAATCACAAACCACTGCGTTGAGTTATTTTTCTCATACAACTGGATGAATCATTCCTTCTCCTATCTGATTAGTTAATTTGACGTAGTTGATAGATAGATAAATATTCTTACATCATCGAAAAAATGTAGAAATTTTTTAACTTAAATTAAGAATCAGTGAGTAATATTTTAAATCAAGAAAATATGTCAATTATTTATTCGTTATTTGCACTATTGAGAAAAATGAAGCAATGTCATCCGTGTATGGGTTTCGTCCATTCACACTAAACTCAGTCGAAAACAAATAGAAAAATACATTAGATTCTATTTATCTATGAGTTACTACCTATGTATGCTCACTTTTTCCTAGATGTTCGAGTTTTTAAACTGAGCGGTCTCCGTAGAGCAACAACAACCTATACTTCTAGTTCTCTTAAGAGATTATCCAATAAAAGTTTTTTCATGTTTCAAATGCTCATGTTTTATGACAACAATAGAAGGGGGAATCAAAGTTGAAGCAGCTCAAAAATCGTCATGGACATCTCTCAAGGAGCCTCGAGGTATGGAATTGTTCCTTTTTCTTTAATAGATATCTTAATTCAAAACTCGAACATGTAAAAGAATGCTTGTAATGCGTTTTTTTATTGATTTGAACTGCCTGTGAAATACATTTTGCTTGACAAAAAATAGTCGAAGCGGTAGAGTTCGCAGAAAGTATATTTCTTTTCCTAAAACCAGAGTAGGCTTCATATAAAGGTAAATCACCATTTTGTATATTTTTGAGAAGTTGTATTCTCTTCTTGAAACACCTAGTCGATAGCTCGTTCAACTTTTTCAAAATGAGAATTCTTTAATCGTTGAAAATTCTCTGGTAATAATCTAGATTAACTTTTTGAGAATATCAATAGAATGTTGTACAAAGGTGAGTGAATTCTTGTTTTCAAGGAAAATGAGCTTCTATTATCTAGTTTATTTGAGAACTGTTTAGAATGCATTTTGACTGCCTAGATTTCCAAATATTTGAAGCTTATTCAAACAGGGTGCTTCAAAATTCGAATTAATGTCTAGGAAAAGTTTCTCTGTGAGTGAGCAATTTGAAGTTTCTGAAACAGCGATAAACGGTCTATAAACCTTTACAAATATAATCGGTCTCGATTGAAAAAGCACTTTTCATCTTGAAAAGGCAACGTGTCGTCTATGTTTTCCTAAACGAGAAAGATCTTGAATTTTCATTGTTGTACTCAGCATTAAACTATTTGTGTGAAAAATATATATTTAGTCCTGTCTATGTTAATTTTCACAGCACATGGAGGAATTCTTCCGAAATGACATTGGATGAACGTCACAGCGTTTTGTGAAATGCCAGGCGACTGAAAGTATACATATTGTAGCACCAAGTTTGAATCTAATATGTTTTACATTGAAATTTTGAAGGAAATAGCTGACTTCTACGGCGTGCTATGAACTATTCACTATCTTCTAGAGGGAACAATCCTGTCTCTCACTGCTGCCATCGACTTCATCTGACAAATAAAGCAAGTCCTAATTGGCATTAGATTCTATATCTTTGCAAATTGAAGTTAAAATACGTTCTCTGGCGACTACTTAGATGTGTTTGGATTAGTTCGAGTGGATGTAGTGTTCAAACGAATTGAAGAGCAATTGGAAGTGATTAAGAGTGTCAGAGTTCCCGCTCCTTTGGATTTCAATCCTAGAGAAATCCAAAACCTACTGACAGTTCGTGTTCATACGTTTTTGACCATCTTAAGATATCTTAATGTGCTTACTCTTTCAAGCTTTATTAAGTTGGCATGGGGTCTTGGGTTCCCAGGAATGGAACCCAAAACTGATAGCTCTAAAAGAGATGTGCTCGAGTAAGTATTAGCTATACTGTATACTCTACCCGATGATGGTGAGTTTGTTGTAGATTTTGTGGTACCAACAGTTGTTATCACCATTCATATAACTGAATCAAAAGAATAGTTGTGTGTCAAAGAAAAATACTTAAATATAAAACATAAAGAAAGCTCATTTACTCATTGATGTAAATTTATTTGTACCTGTACTGTTTCCTGAACGTGCTATAAAGAGACATAAATATAATAAAGTCGTGATAACTTAATTACTGCGATTCTAGTAGTTCTAAAGCTTGCAAAGCATAAGAACTTACTTGTAGTTGAAGGTCGTGTTGTTGTAGCATTTGTTCCTCTAACGGTTGTGCTTGTTGTAGCTACTCCGAGAAATTATTAAAAAAAAATCACTTTCACTATAGTTCAGGAAAGCTAAGACAGGACATTAGAAGTTCTTTTACCTGTTGCAATCATTGGACAAATCAATTTATTTGCTAAGACTAATGGGTAGCAGATTGGCTGGCCACAGCGTGTACTATTGACACAGACTGTGTTATCGATGGAACATGTAACATTATCCATGTTGCACCGCACAACACTTGCACAGGAGAAAAAAATTGAACCACAAATTCCTACATTTCCATTCGATGTTAACGAAAAACAGTCGCAGTCAAGATTTGATGAACATGGTGTTCTTTTAGAACTACATGCAGTGAAATTGCATGTTGCTGTCGTTGTCGAATTAACTGAGAAAAAACACAATAAAAAGTAGAGAAAATGAGAGTAATTATCAGCTAACTAGTTGATTGTTGTCCTTGTGAAGTATTTCTGTTATACAGAAGAAGAAGAAAGCATGTAGTATATGAAAAATGAGATTCGACACATACATTAAAACCAGGATATAGGTTAAAGGTACGAAGATGAAGCTCGAAATTTTCATCATTGTTACGACCACTGTAAGTAACCAGTAAGAAGTTTCTTCTTTTTCATCGCCGTTTGATGTTTCTTATATAGACGTCGTTGGGCACTAGAAAGAATGGTCAAGAGTGTTATCTCATAATGAAATTAGTATACTTTTTTCTGAAAAAAATATCAACCAAGGACACCTATTATTGGTAGAAGTAGTCCTCTTTTGAAATTCTGAGTGTGTTTACGAAGAGAGAAAAAGTGCTTAAGAGAGCCTGAGTGAAGTGGGATCAAGAAAGAAAAGGAATGATCAAATTATAATTTTCGTTTTTTTCCAATCAGGGTTACAACGTATCATGATGTGCTTGACTAACCCTTACCTTGTGAACTGCAGACTAATTAGTATCTGCTACAGGATAGTTATGAGCGATAAAATATCATTGCGCGCAACTTTATCAATATGTTTTAAGTGGTTATATGCGCAGAATTTCTCGGAATAATCTATTCACTGATATAGATATGACCATTCAAGCATTTATAAATCAGCCAGACTTTGTGCTTCTATCCTGTTTGCCAACACCTTAAACATGAATAATATCGAGGCAAGTTTCTTTCAACGCTTTTTACACCTGAATGAAAATAAGAGTTTTTCTGCATGAAGAAATCAAATAAAATGTTTTTAATTTTCTCTCAAGTACCATGATAATGGGGGTGAGAGTGATATAGAGCTACCATTACCTGTTTCAATCAGGCTAAGGATTTCAGTAGGTGGCTTGAATCTAGGGATGCATCAAATACAATTCCAATCAATTTCAATTCTTGGAATTGGTTGTAATTGTAATTGACCGGAGCCGGAATTGGTTGTAATTGGAACTGACTGAAATTGGAATTGACTGGAATTGACTTCATATCCTAGGAAAGGTAATTGGGTCCTTATTTAGCTATCCTAGGTGAGGGTGTGTGGGTGGGTCGGCGCGAGTGTCATTCTTAAAATGCTTCTCACACCCACACCCACACCCTATGTGCTATTTTATAGCAAGGTATTTATAAATAATTCTTTATAATGTATGAATCATAATTAATTTTTAAGAAAAATATTTTTCATAAAATTATAGAATAAAATTGATTATTTGAGATAGTTTTTTTCGATAGTGTTTTTCAATATGATGTCCTACATTTTTTTGTCGTTTCAACCAAATTCTGTTTATTACATTTTATTGATAGAATAATTTGAATATATATAATTTTATGACTTTTCAGTATAGATTCATCTATCATTTGGTGATCATTATTTTGGTAATCATGTTCTTTTTTTATTAATGGATTAAAATTCTTAAACAGCATCTTATTGTGAATGCTGTATATAATTTTATTTGAATCATTTTTTCTAAAAAAGCTGACAATGATACAACACTTCATAGCATATTTGTCAATAAGAATGTGTCTATGACGTCTTTTTTTGTAATTGTGTTCAAAATAATTACTTGTTTTTAATATGAGAAGATCTAAGATATAGGCTGTGCATAGTGCATTTTCTATTTCTTTTTTTTGTTACATATATACTAGAGAAAGACAACACGGAACACAGAATAATTGCTATATTCTTAATCAAAAAATGGCTTGTCTTTATTTCTTTATCATTGAGTTGACATCAAAATGAAGACAGTTTTTGAAAGTTCGACGTCAATTATGATTTAATATAGTCTCATAATTTCTTCTTTCTGTTTTTTTTTGAGACACTGATAAAATATGAAAAGATATATATTTCTAGATTGTTTTGTGTGTTTTTGTTTTTTTTTTGTTCTAACAAAATATTT